TGAGGAGGCCTTATAAATCTCATCTGAACTCTTGTAAGTTTTGGTTTCTGCTTCAAACAAAGAGAACATGTAATCATTGATTGTGTCAGCAGTCTCATTCAATGGAGTGAGAATGGCTCTCTCAGTTAAGTAGTTTTGGTCATCATGCATGTTGTCAAAATTTGGATAAGTGTTGGAGATGATTTGCTGTATTGGATTTTCTGCCCTAGCTATTAAAAATTCGTCTGGTATTTTTATCCAAGTTGCAAGCTCCTCACCTTCTTTTGCAATCGCTTGTATCTTCCCATCTCCAATGTCCAACAACCATTTATTAAACTGTTTGTTGGCTACATCAGGTAATCCTTCTGCATTTGTTTCAGATACTCGCATGTTTTTTTCCAAAACAAAGACTTCACAACTTTTCCAAAGATAGGACATGTTTATGCATGCTTCAACAATTTCTTGTCTCTTGCCTTTTGGTATAACTGGTAGTATTTGCCTAAAGTCTCCTCCCAAAACCACAATTTTGCCTCCAAAAGGTTTGTTTCTTGCAGCCTTATCTTTGAATCCTATTATATATCTGAATGTTTTATCAACTGCTTCAAAGGCATACCTTTGCATCATTGGAGCTTCATCCCATATTATCAAAGATGTCTACAATAATAATTGAGATAAATTTGTATTTTGTCTTATGCCACATGTACTATTCTGAAATAGCTCAAGTGGGATGTCAAATCGGCTATGTGCTGTTCTGCCTCCAAGTAACAATAGTGATGCGATACCTAAATGGCATTTTGACATGTATAAGTTAAAGTAATACTTAAATAAAATTGAAGAAAATAATTTAATATTTTGTCCAAACTTGACGAAGCCACGGCCAAAGCTATTTTTCTCTCAAATCTCAGTCTTGATAGTATTGTTTTGTACAAAAATGTCTTTCCTGTTCCTCCATGTCCATAAACAAAGAAGATGTCTCCTTCCTTTTGCTCCACTGCATCAAGTATTCTGTGGTATATCTCTCTCTGCTGGTTATTTAATGAGATGTAAAAGTTATCATGATCAGCTTTCATCTTCCTAATGTCATAATTGAGCTCTTCTTTGATCAGCCTATTATCTGCTCCAAATAAAAGATTCATATTTGGTAATGGCATGCCATTATAATCGGACAGTGATTTACCACTACGATTTAGCATTCTTTCAAGCTCCAACAGACAATAGTTCTTGATTTGGTCTTCTGTGAATTTCAAATTTGGGAAATTGAATTGATGTACCAATTTAAATGGTATGTCCTCTGAAAGTGTTTTCCAATTGACTTCCCAAAAATGGATTGGGTCATTTACTTCATAGAAAAGTAGAATTGTAATGAATAATTCTCTTAGTTGAGGTCCAATCGCCAAGTGTCTCGCTTCATCAATTGCATCATTCCATTCTTTACGTCACTAATTAATCCAAAAGCATAGCATGCCTGCTTGAATGTTGTGTGTTGTGTGCCATTCACATTTTTGAGCTCCTCATAGGTGCGAGGTCCTCGAACAACATTTAATAGAATACGCAAGTAATACCTTTCTTCAGATGTAGGGTGTGTATATGTAATTCTTCCAATTGTTCGACCTCTCTTTCTTTTAGTCCATTCTTTTCCATTCCAAACAAATTTTGTTGGGAATTCTGCATATGTCAATGATCTAGCCTCCTTGTTTTCTACATTCATTTCCATCCATTTGGTGAACATAGTGTCTTTGACCCCTTCTTGTTCGATGGCCTCGGTTAGACTTTGAGAATCTCTTAATATCATCTTTTGCTCATCTTTTAAGTGGAAAAACAATCGCATGACTGACGGATTCCTGTAATGTATATCAAAGTGGAAGATTCTCCAGCAAGCTTCACATCCTGAGACATATCGACAGTCCAAGTATTGCTTGATTTCATCAACTAGAGCTATTTTGACAACTTCATTTTCTGTAATTTTGTCCTTGTTGATGAAGACATTATCTTCTATCACAATCGTACTTCTATCTGGGCCTTTAGATATATACTTGAGCAGGTACTTTATAGCCTTTAACTTATTACAAACTTCAACGTTTATATGTGCTTGATATCTAAGTAGCAAATATTTGTTGTAAAGAACTACATACCTATTTTCACATAAAATGGAATCATTGTTAGTCATATACTTGGATAGTAAATTTATAGTGCTTAAGATATTTGAAACTTTGAATTTTATATGTACTTATTACTCTAATAATAAATCATTATTATTGAGAACCACATATCTGTTGTCAAGTAAGATGCCACCTTTTTTAACAGTTTTGTTATCATCCCTTCTTTGATAAATTGGGAATCCTTCTTCATCTATTGTTGTTTGGTCATAAAATCTTTTTGGAAATTTTTTATTGCAACGACCGTCCACCATGCATGGAGAACGTTTGTTTGCAACTCCACATGGTCCATGCATCATAAATTGTGACACAGCTGCATATGCTTCTTGATCTGTTTCCTTGCATGGTATTTCTGTTGAGACAAATTTGTCTATGTCTTCTGGGCTTGTAATTTTATTTTTTGGATCCAACCAAGGTAGTATATGTGCATGTGGGCGTCCTCTTTTTTGGAACTCAATCATGTACATGACTGTTAAAAAATATAAATTTTGATTAATCATTTATAGTATATGGTATTAAATTGATGTATATGAGTGAACTTAGATCATACCTCCAATAACTGTACCAAACGCTTTCTTTTCTGTGATGTCTTTGATTAGCTGTTGAAGCTTTAATTTGAAAACTCGTGCTTCAATGTCAGGTCGATTTTCAACATTTTGACCAGGTATCTCATTGAGCATGTATTTGATCTCAGGCCATTTTCCGTTTGATGTGAAAGTGATGAATAGATCAGAATATCCCAAACTTCTACAAATTGCCATTGCATCTTGATAATTAATTTTGTATCATGTATCTTGGACTTCCTGTAAAACTTGAAGGTAATATAATGCGCTTCCCAACAGATTCTGCCATTGTATCCCCTCTAACGA